GGGAGAAGCAGCTGGCGATATTGGCCCCTGACTCAGCAGCTTCCTTCCAATTTCCCATTTCAGAAATAGAGCAGCAGGCTCTAAATCTTCCGTGCCTGAGCGCAGAGTGGAGAGCCCAATGCAAAGTTACATTTCACTTGGTACTGACAGATGGAAAGCCGTAATAATGTCCCTTTCTGCCCGATGAGCGATGGGTTCCCTCGGCGCAGGACGGATCTGGAGCACGGCTGCAGAGGCGCAGGCGGTGCCAGGAGCTGGCTGCTGGGGGAGAGCCGCTCTGCTCTGTGGACACCAGGCTTTTGGGGGGGTTGGGGGCTGCTGCAGAGAGGGCGCCCACCACAGCGCCTGGGGGATGCTGGGGTTCTTTGCTCTGAATTACAGCAATTTAAACCAGGCATTGTTTAAATCCCAGGTGGGATAGTTGCAACCATTTCCATAGTGGGTTTGTCTCAGATTGTTTACAAATCCTTTTTTGTACCCCAAAAATGCTGGGGATTGAAGCAGGCAATGGGAGTGAAAGCCTTTAAGGTAATAGGTCTAGGACAGAATTCGTGTTGTTAGGAGGTCAGGGTGAGCAAGCCTGCTGCTGCTCCATTGCACAGGTGAAGGAGACAAAGGGGTTTTAGGTGCAGGGTTGGCACTTGCCACAAATATTAAATTTACTCATAGGAGTTTAGATGGCGCAACCGAATAAATCATCAGGATGGAAGAGACAGATCCTTATGACCATAAAGTAGTGATAATCCCATACTGTAATGTTAATGAGCCTGAGTTTCTCAGGCTTGCCATATGCAACCTCCCTGTTGGCTTTAGTAGACACCACCATATGTGTAGAGGTCCAGAATCAGGCATTTCTCCATTTCCCCCGATGGAAGAGACTCCTTTGTGCAGAGAAAATCTGCGAGTTTGCCTGTAGGTCAAAATAAAAAATAAAAAAAATCCATCAAAGGAGCAAGTTTCCTTCCCTTTGAGCTCACTGGTGCTCTCAGAAGCTCCTCTCATTTACGTCCAAGATGCCAAGCCAGCTCGCGGTGCTCCTGCCTCTCAGTGTGCCGTAGACGCTCAGCATGCCTCGGACTGACGGCGCGAGTTGGGAGCAGATGTTGGCTCCGTGACAGGTCTGTGTCAGCAGCGTGTTTTGATAAGAACAGACTATTCCCAGCTGGTTTCTGAAGAGTTTTTCTCTTTTCCTCTTTCCTCCTCGTGCTTTGAGCCCCTCTCCATCATCCTCAGAGCACACGTTCTGAAAAGATGTGCCCAGCTCTTTTCTTGATGCTACTTAATTTGTTGCATCATTCGTGTTTCAAGGCTTTTTTAAAACATTGTCCTTCACAAGGTTGGGAATCCCCCAAATTCAACTTTCCCTTCACTAACTTTCTTCCACGGAAAGAAAGTTTTCTTCACTTTCTTCCACGGAAGAAAGGTCTGTGTTTCTTCCCATCTGGCAAGAGCGCGGAGAGATGCAGTCCCTGCTTAACGTAGCTCAGCCACCAGAAACCCAATAAAAAGCCAGATTTAACCCAGGTAGCTACATCCGTGCCAGGAGCTCTCGGTCAGCAGCCTGGGGCTGAGCGTGGTGTTGCTCACCTGGCCGTGCTGGGGGAGATGGGCACAGCTGTGCCCAGGTAGCTTCTGCGGTGGGGATCGTGTCCAAAGGGGAAGGCGTTCTCTGCCAGGAGCCCAGCAGCGCTGCCAGCCACAGCCTGGCTGTCTGTCAGTGGCTTACTGGCCTCCAAATTAAGGCAGAAGAGGAGGAAGCTTGTGATGTCTCTCTAGATTAAATGTGGGAACTGAAGTTCACCCACCTCTCTTATCTTCCATCAGATTCAGTGCTAGATTAGTGTTAGAAGACAGCTAAATGGCTTGGGAGAATTTTTTATTCCACCTCCGCCTTCATACATCTGCTTACCTGGTTAGTTGTGGTTGAAAAATCCTGCAATCCCTTCTTTTAAATATATATGACGTTTCTGCAGCCTTGCCAGCAGGGCAGGAGCTCTCTCTGGGCCCACATTCAGCGAGGATGCTTCAGAAACAGATCAACTGCGAGCCCCCAGCCAGCTTCCAGGCGAGTTATTGAAGCAGTGTGTGGCTGCAAACAGGTTACGTGACCTCTTCATACAAAAATCCAGCCATCTAGAAAACTGGGGAGAAAGCAGAACCTGTGGACTTGCAGACAAGCCGTGTCTGCCGTGTCCTCCTGGGGAGCTGGGAGCCTGCAGGAGCCGCCCTGGCACAAGTCTTAGCGCTCGTTCCTCACCAGGAGCTTGTTTGTTCGCCTGCTTTCTCCTCCGGCCCTGAGCTCCCTGCAGCAGTTTCCAGGCAAACAGCAGGTCTGGGGACCGTGCTGTAATGGGAAACCTCCGTTTCCCTTTTAACCAGGTCTTCAACCCTGCAAAACAATCAGCCTTTCCCTTCCCGTGGAGAGGCCGCGGTATCTAATCAGGTTTCACTCCTTTGTTGTATCTATTGATCCTCGGCACTGTAAGATGCAAATTGCCATGCCTGACAGGATTCAGGGTGTTTTATCATCAATGGAGAGTAATTATCCTTGGCTGCACCAATATTGGATTGTTAAGCCCCAGGATAATGCACAAGGTAAAGACATTTAGAAGGCAGTCCACCTTGGGGATTTGTGTAAATGTGATGGATAGAGTGAGAGGAGGATAGCTGAATTACAGCCCGCAGGGACCGGCAGCTGCATGGGGGGGGAGCCCTGGTAATCCTCGCAGCAGAGATAGCGCTGAGCTTGGTATTGAGACGCAAAGTGCATCCAAAGCTGTAAGTTTCCCTTTCTGTTTAATCCTTGTAATGTGTATATGCTGAAGAAGAAAACATATGCAAGATCTTGAATGGATTCTGTGCGTTTGCAAGACCAGCCAAGTGACTTCTTCTGTTCGTTTATTTATCTAGCCATAACTCGAGCTTTTCTTGTGAGCATATTTCAGAGGCACAAGGGTTTTGGGTGCTTATTTCTTTGTCTGTGGATTCCAATTCAATACTAAGAGCAGAATTATAAATTAATAAGTAGCAGCTACTTTTCTTTTTTGAACATATCTGGTTAACCATTGCATATTCTGCTGGATAAAGCAGTTAAGCTGCCTTAGCTGTGGGGAGGAAACGTGTCAACAGAGCTGCCATGTCAGCTGCCTAATCCTCGACTGATAGCAGCAAACCTGAAAGTAGACTCACGGAAGAAAATCTCTTTTTCCAGAGCTATCCATATGAGCTGGGTCTTATACCTGTCACTTCCTTCTTTAAATCAGCCCGTTTCTGCAGTTGCAAAATAAACAAGACAGAGCTAGAAAAAGGAGTGTTGGTGCCTGAGAACTGCCGACATTAATGTTGAAGGTAGTTTCCAAAGACCATCAGGCTCCAGGTATGACACCGAACTTGCAAGCTGCAAGTTTCTATTAACATTTTGTAATGTTTTCAGTTGCAGTTCCCTTGTCAAGCATTTCCTTATGTTTGACCAAGGCCATGGCTAAGATCAGCCAGCTTGCTTGGCATGCACAGCATGCTTTGCTCTGGCTGAAGCTGCTAAGGACACAGAGGAGTAAATGCCAACAACTGCAGTAAATAGTCCGGGCTTTACCAGCACTGTGCCAGACCCTGCAGCTACGTGCAGCTTCGTGTGGCAGCGGCGCCCTGTGCTGCCTCGGAGGTGTTCAGGGCCCTGTGCTCCACGGGCATTTTCCTGACAGCCTTCACAAGCACCCCGGGCTGCTTCATCTCACACGTTATTACCAAAGTGTGCAGCAAGCTCCATACCTCCAAACAAGCAGGAGAGGGTTTAGCTCCACAGTCAATTTTAACCGCAGTTTTGAAATAGGAGAAAATTGAGAAAGATTAAGAAAATTGTCTCACATACCCACGCTGTTTGTCATGTTTTAAAAAGGGAGTAAGGCTCGCAGAGCTTGGCACTGCCAAGTCCCAAACACACCGCGTGGGCAGGCGAGTCCGGTGGAAGCCGTGCAAGGGGAGGAATCCGTGCCGTTCCCTTTCTTCTGCCTGTCAAAACAACCCCCGGCAGCCAGGAGGAGTGCCTGTCAAGGAAGAAAAGCGATCAGCAGGAGCTGCTGCTGGCTTTGGCTTCTGCCCCTGCCCTCAGCTGCGGGGGCAGCCCACAGCGTTAGGGTGCCCTCCAGGGCCAAACGAGGTGGCAGTCCTGTTGTCAGCTCCCACCTCACCCCACGTTTTCCCCACAAGGATACAGGTCCCAGAGTCCTGCCCGGGACAGGCGTGTGTTCCTCCACATGAACCCGTTGGACATGGGCAGCCTCGAGTGGAAGCATTCACCGATTTCACCGCGTGCCCGATGGGTTTCTGCCCGTGCTGCAAGGGAGCGATGGGGCTGCTCCGAGCTGCCAGATCCTTCACTGATTTCAGGAAGTGTCCATGCACGTAGGACTTTGTCTTTGGGGCAATATTGCATGTTCCCTCCTCTCCATAGTCCCTCCTTTCTTCCGAGCAGCAGCTCAAACCCGTGCAGTTCTGCAGTGGAAATTTGCCGCGTCCCTCAGAGCTCCCCGGGCTGCAGAGGAGCAGGTTTCTGGCTGGGGCAGAGGCTTCCTCCACCGTGCTGATCTGCTGCTCGGTGAGGACACAGAAGTAGGCCCACACTGAGGTTTCCAGAGATGATCCAAAGACAAAATTCCAAACGCAACGATCCTGGAATTTGGGGAACTCAAACTCTAGACCCCCGGGGTCTGAATATTCATCTGCAGGGCCTGAATCTTAATTAGAGCAAGGCAAAACCCGGGCGAGTGGGCAGTTTCAGCCCTTGGATGGGAGGAGGCTCCAGCCCAAAGCAGAGCTCACAGTGAGCCCTCTCGCGTCCCGTGGCGTTGAACCATAGCACAAAGAGTGCGCAACGCCGCCGCTGGTACGGACCTTCTGGTGCAGCACGCCAGTGGGGAATCACGAATACCGCGTGGCAGGCGTGTTAAAATAAAACCATGCGTGCACGCATGGCTGTATTTGCTATATTCCACACGAAAGTAGTTTTTTTTTTTTATTGTGAAAATTGTTAGATTTGATGGCGGTATGTAATTAGTAGTTTGCCAGCAATAATTACAGGGCTGTGCTCCAGAATAAATGATGTAGCATTCCTGTGCATATAATATGGTATACCACAAAATAGGAGTTGGAAAATTGCAACATTGCTGGATCATCATATATCTGACATGTTGAAGGGGTTTTTTTTTGCTCTGATAGTTTATGAAAAATTGTAAGTATGGTGCACTGTGAACCGAAAGACTTTCTTTGTTAAATTAACCACAATTGCAACCACAAATTATGGCTTCACAAACTATAGATTTAAGACTGACTTTTCATAAATAGAGTTTCTTTGTGTTTTAACAAAACATACATAAAAGAATGGAGCTGTACAGTGATGCCAAAGTAGCACTTTGAAAATCATCAGCCCATTCAAGCCTTTGGAATACAATCATAATATTTGTTTAAAGTTTAATATCCAGAAAGGGAATTTACAGAAAACCCATGAGCTTAAGACAGTTCTGATAAAATTTCAGAGTGCCTTAATGAAATAACATCAAGACAGTGACCTTAAAAAGACAGGTTTGTATACATTTGAAACATCTGTTGTCATTTCAATAAATACATTAGTCAGTAAATGACTAGTATCCAAGGTTCTGCAAAATGAAACGTGACAGAAGTATCCTTACATGGATTTTTTTTATACCTATATAGCATGTCCATACTTGCAAAGGACCCAAATCTTTCAGAGTAGGAATTATGCTAGTTACTACCAAAGGTAAATTTGCCCAAAAAGAGTTTTCTCCAATACTGGATGATTGCCACAGACTTCTCCAAGTTTTAAAATATCCTACAGATTATTGGCATGCTCATTTCAATTTTGAAAGGCATACTTTTGGCAGCAGTAAACTAAGGAGGGCCATGTGTTAACATCCTGGTTTAGCAATATGTATTCCCACATGCTAAGCTCTCGTACAAATGCAGTTTTTATTGCTGTTGACTTCAAACAAAGATGCTTTGACATCTAAAGTTGTATATGTTACAGATGCGATGCCTAACCATACTCATGCTGTATATTTTAGGATGAGCTGGCTGTGGTCCCAATTATACAGTCAAGTATAAACACTCCTAGGATACAGGCCCCCATACGGAGAGTCACTTAGCTTTGTTGTGCTGTGTAGTACTGCACTGTAACATCTTGCGTGGCTGATATTTTGTACTCCAGCTCATTTGCACGTTGTTGCTTAACATAATATATAAATAACATATAGGAGCAGGCAGCATCGCTCGTCTCCTGACTTTGAACGTGGAACAAGTATCTGCCATGCGTGGCTTTGTCGCTCCTGATCCCCAGCCCTAGTCTTCCGTCCGGGTTAGCAGACTCTTCACTTCTCTCGTGATACTTTCTCATCGTAAGCTAACAGAGAGAAGGAGGATAATAACTTAGCTAGGAAGCATTTCTAAAAAAAAAGTGTACTTATTGGCCAAAGTCTTTTGTGCAGTGGGCGGTGCTTGGCTGTTCAGTTTCATAGCAATCAGTTCATTTTCTGGGAAAAACATTTGAAAGTTGTGTGAATCTCTCTTCTTCTGCCACCATCCTCAGAAGGAAACCATCATTCTGTTGGATTTCTGCATCCATCCTCACTGGAAAACCGCGCCAGTAAGGGCCAGCTGGGGCTATTTTCTTCTGCCTTCATACGAGCTCCAGGTTTTGTCCTGGCAGCTCCAGCAGCTGGTGCTTGGGCTGGCAGGCAGTAGTGCACCCCCTCCCACACGGATCCATTCACTGCCTGTTTGGCTTACACCTCACCATCAGCAGAAAACCAAAAATGGACCAAAAGCCTCACCATGCCTCTCATTTCATCCAGGAGCAGCTGCCCCTCACCTCCCAGCAGGCATCCTCCTCATGCCTGTTTGCAGGCTGCTTGCATGCAGGGCACTGGTTCGTGGGGACCTGGGGACCCCCACGCTGGTGACCACAGCTGGCAGGAGACCAGGACGCAGATCTTGCCCTACGGCATGTAAGCATCGGGCTGATACATCCATGGACAGGTCTCCTCGTGCTCGCGCCCTTCAGAGATAACCAGGTTTGTGCTCCTGTAGCTGCTGGTGTGTGCAGGAGTTCTTGTAATAATAATAATTAGGTGTAAATATTTTGCATCTAATTTCGAAAGGTTACTTCAAAGAAGCGTTTCTTCACATCGCTGCGGATCTTTTCTTCTGTTGAAATACACATTCATGAGTGAAGTGCTGCAATTACAAGGATGTTTAGAGAATCACAAAGGTATTTATTCTTGTCCTGGCTAGTTTATAGTAGCAAAATTGCAAGTGGAAAGGCTAAGAAAATGTATTCTAAAAACAAATGTGTAATTGTTTTGTTGAGAGTTAGAGTCAACAGTGTTTATTCATGAGGCTTCGCTGCCCCAGGCGAGAGCAATCAGACTGGAGGTACCACCTCCTGTATCCTTGTTCTCTTTAATTGGAGCCATAGCCTTGGATGCCCCGAGGCGAAGGGCCGGCTCTAACTGTATTCTGTTCGCTTTATGAACATTTGAAAGCACAGTGGAAAAAAACATTCTTTTGTTTAGACAGTTTCAGGCTTTCCCTCCCTTTTCTGCTTAGCGAATGAAAATTATATGTCAAAATTAAGCTCTCGAGCTGCTATAGATTTGGCGAGTACCGCAATATCCCGGCAGCCACATCGTTGCGCAGCATGCGTCCATTTTCGGGCCCGGGAGAGGAGCTGGGGGCAGCCGGGGAGCAGAGGGATGCCGAGCTGATGCCGAACTGATGCCGAGCTGCAGCCGAGCTCCTGCTCCTCGCACCGGGGCCGTCGGCAGTGGCAGCAGCAGCTCCAGGTGCCTCGCAGGCAGGCTGCTGCGCCGCACTCCCCCGCCGCGCTCCTTCTCCCAGCGTGCGCATTCTTTTAACGCAAATCCGAGCATATTTTAACAGTTTCACTGCAAATTCCCGTGCTGCTTCCCTTCTATTTTTAGGCCCTGGCGAGGGTACCTAGCGCATTTACCAGCCTAGAGACAGATTCAATAAAAGATTCAATAAAACTTCTCTCCAGCTTCCTCCCAGCAGAAGCCCAGGTGGGGGCACGCAGAGCAGGAGGCGGCTGGCGTCTCGTTCTGAATCTAGCCCTGAGTTTATCCTAGCTCTTCCTGAGTGTTTTTCTCCTCTCTCCCCTGTAAAACCCTGATTTCCCCATGACATCTTTATGCAACACCGCGGCTAAGTGCTTTCTCCTTCCATTGTCAGGGCTGCTAGCCACGAAATGCTTGAAGCTTTTAGCTTGGAAAGGAGAAGTGTGGCCTGGCGCTGGGTGGGGGAAGAGCCCTCCGTGCAATCGCACGCGCTGGCTGTGCCCGCTCCAGTCGTGTCTCAGGGGAGGGTTTCCACGTGGGGCAGATGCCGCTCGCACAGCCGGTGGCTGTGACGCTGCAGCCCGGAGTCAGAGCCGAGGGAAGCCACCAGCCCCAGCGAGCACCTGGAAGAGATCAGGCAGGCTCGGCCTGCACTCCCTCGTCTGCTCCGGTCCGGCTGCACGCAAGGTGTTTGTGGTCAGCGCCTCCGCATGAGGAGAAAACAAAAGTGCTCCCCATCCGGGCTTCGTTTTCACGTCGCGCCACTGGGACGCCTGGCCCTGCTCTGGGAGGAGTTTAAGCGTGCACCGCCGGCGTGCGTCGCCTTGGTTTGTATGTCCCCAGTTTCTCAGCTGTCCTCCAGAGCTGAGAAATTCACCACGTAAACCTCCGGGATGGCACCCTGCGTGCACCCCGTGGCCATCAGCCCCGGCCTCTTTGCAGGGCTGCCACTGATGCAGCTTTGCATTTCTTCCGGCCGCTTCAAGGCACCTCTGGTTTACCAGATTCACTTTCCTGGGCTCTCATGCCAGTTGTATCTCCCCGGCAGCAAATACCAAGGCTTCAAAAGGCATCTGTTTATTCACTTATTTCATGTGGCTGGCGAGGTTGAAGAGCTATCCCTGGATGATATTGATTCTAGTGAGGAGTATGTCATAGCTCTGGAGACTTTATCTAAATAATCACATGCTTACACACGTGCTTTTCAGAGTGCCGTTTTCAGATTGGAGTTATTAGATTTCAACTTCTGGTCTTCTTAGGAAAACACCTCCCCTTGAACCGGGGCTCACTGCCCCTTATCCAGGGCTGCGCGGCCGATTCCCAGTGGGCCGGGGGGTGCTGCACGCAGGGACAGCGGGGTGCGGGGCTTTCCCACCAGGAGTATTTGTTTAAATGCAGCAAGTCCTTTCTCCAGCGTCGTCTTCGCAAAATGCGGAGGGGTGAGCCTTTTGATGTTTGTATTTACAGTGTTTTCACATCTGGATGTCATTTGTGACACAGCCTCTCCTCCTTTTTCTATCCCCGTGTCTTCCTGTAAAACCCGCTCTGAACATAGGAGCTCATGTGGCTTTAATGTGCAGTAGTCGGGCAATGTATTTAGCAGGCCTGTAGCAGGCCAATAAAGAGGTACCTTGGGTCACGCTGTGCACTCTTGTAAATTTATCCCGAATTAACCCTGACTGGCATCCAGCTCCCCCGCTGCACATACAGATGTGCGCTCCCCCCAGCCGGTTCACGAGAAGCGGTGCCGTAAATCCACAAACCCCGGTGACCTGGGGTCTGTGCCGAGGGCCTGGGGACGCCCGTGCTGCAGGGCCCGGTGAGCCGTGGCGGTGGCTGGCTGCTTCCCTGCAGGGAGCCCAGCGCCGTGGTGCCATGGAGAGGCAGCCCCGTCCCCGCACAGAAATCCTCGTGGTGTTGCAAGAGGTGGTGCTCTTCCAGGAGATCCGGCCTCCGGTGCAAATCCTGCGTGGGGCTCTCCGGCCGTGAAAGCGGTTTGAACATCCCCGTCCAACAGGTTTCTTCGGGTTTCTTTGCGTTAATGCGGCTCCCTCCTTTAAAATGCAAACGTGGGCATGGCAGAGCAGGCTCCCTCGCCGCCTTTACGTGCGGAGGAGCGCAGGGGAAGGCGATCAGTCAGAGCAGAGCAGCCGGCGCGTCGCTGCAGCCCTGCAGTCAGCCAGGATGCAGAAGGGAAAACACACCCATCAATTTCTAAATGTCAGCAGAGATCCCCTGGAAATTATTTATTGCGTCTGCTGTCGTATTTAATGATTTAACAATATACTAATAATCATAATATATTAACTTGGTGTAGTGATATACCAATCAATATAAAATAATGAACACGTCCAATGGGTTTAATAGTATACAGATGTTTACTGCCTTTCTCCCGGAAGATTTTCAGATAATTTCTCAAGGCCAGATGAAACCCGCGCTCGGTCGCTGCCCTACCTGCGAGGCAGCTGCAGCAGGGGGGCCCTGCGGGCTGCAGGGTGGCGGAGCGGTGCTGAGCAGTGCGGGGCAGTGCAGGGCAGGGCAGTGGCTCCAGCGCATCGCAGGCTCATGGGGGGCCGTGAGCGGCTGCGCGGGGGCTGCCCCCGTGCCCATGAATCACGTTTACTGCGGCGGGGACTAACCAGGCGTGTCAGGCAGCCGGGACTGCCGGCCCCCGTGGCCATTGATTAACCATTTATTAAAGCCCCCATGAATCACTCCGCCGGTAATTATACTTTAAATGTACCTACTAACAACTGTTTTGCACCGCGGAGGTTAATCACGATGAAGCGTTTCCTCCGCTTGCCTCTTCTCCCACCGCCGCCAGCCAAATCCCCCCGGGTGCAGCTCGGGGACACGCAGCGCTGTGCCCTGAGAAACAAGGAGGGATCCAGCCTCGCACAGCAGCTGGGTGGGGAGGGAAGCACACGGGCACACATGGACCGTGCACGTGTGCGTGCAGATGGCATGAGCGCACACCCCGTGCACACTCAGGCCGTGTGCATGCACACACCCACATGCAGAGGGCACACACGCAGCGTGCCACAGGATGCACCCATGGATGCCCAGAACTGGTGGTGTGCGTGCACACACACAGACCATGCACAAACACAGACCATGCACACACATGTACAGACCACACACACATGCAGACAATGCACAGACATGCACAGACCATGCACACACACGTGCAAACCATGTGTGCATATGTGCAACCCACGTGCAGCCCATGCATGCACATGCGTGCAGACCATGCACACACACAGTCTGTGCGTAATCACACAGACCGTGCACAACCATGCACAAGCGCATGGACCATGCACACACACACACACACACAGACCATGCACAAGCATAGACCATGCACACACACACACACACAGACTGTGCACACACATGCAGTCCATGCACATGCACATACCATGCATACACACACACACACACACACACACGTGCACGCGCACACCTGCGCGCACCCTCCCGCGGCGCGCGCGCACCCCCCAGGCGGGGCGGGGCGGGGCGGGCGGGCACGCGCAAGCGGAGCCTGTCCTGTCCTGTCCTGTCCTGTCCTGTCCTGTCCTGTCCTGTCCTGTCCTCCCCTCTCCTCTCCTCTCCCGGCCGCTCCGTTCCGTTCCGTTCCGCTCCGCTCCGCTCCGCGCCGCTCGGTGCCGCTCGGCGCCTCGGCGCTGGATTGGCGGGGCCTGGCGTTGGGCAGGGCCGTGCCGGGCGGGGCGGGCGGAGCAGCGTCCGCCGAGGAGCGGCCGAGGAGCGGCAGCGGCGGCGCCGCGCGGAGCCGAGCGGGGGCCGGTGCGGGGCGGGCTCGGGCTCGGGGCGGCGCTGCCCGGCCGGGAGCTGGTGGCGGCCGCCGGGCCCTGAGCCGCGGGGAGCGCCGCTGCGAGACCCCATGGGGCCGGGGCTGGCCGCGGGGCCGCTCGTGTGGGGTGCGCGGGCTCCTCTCACGCCTCGTCGGACGCCGGCCGGAGCCGCCCGGGTCGCTGCTGTGCTGCTGGTGCCGCGTGCTGGGCCGGGCTTTTAGCCCTTTTTTTTATTTTTTCGGGGTGATTTTGGGGGTTTTTGGTGTGTTTTTTTTGTCGTCGTTTCTTCTGCTCGTTCCCCGCCGCGCCCGCGGGTGATGGCCCCGTAGCGGCGTCTGCCCGGGGAGGCTCCGGGGCGAAGGAGCCGCAAACTTTGAGCCGCGAGTAAAAAAGGAAAAAACAAAGGAAAGGAAAAGACAAAAAGGAAAAGGAGGAGAAAAAAAAAAAAAAGGAGGAAAAAAAAAAAAAAAAGAAGAAAAGGAAAAGAAAAAAGAGGGGAAAAAAGGAAAAGAGAAGAAAAAAAAATCCCCGGAGCGGAGCTGCCCGCGGCCCGCAGCGAACAAAAGCCCCCGGAGGATTGCGGCGGAGGAGCCGGGCGGGACCCCCGGGGCAGCTCCGGGCCGGGCCCCGCCTCGTGCCGCTGCCGCCGGGGGGGCCCCGGGGCTCGGCATGGTGCGGGCGGCGCGGTGAGTACCGGGGGGGGGTACACGGGGGGGACGGGGCTCGGTGCCCCCGGCTCGGCCCCGCGGTTCGGTGCCGGCGCTGGGCTGCGGGCGGGGGGGGGCGTGCGGTTTGTGTCCGTCTGTCTGTCTGTCTGTGTGTGTGTCTGGGGGGTGCAGCCCCCCCTCCCCTCCCCTTCCCTTTTTGTCTCTTTCGGGGCCGCGGTTTGATTTTTCCGGCCGCCGCTGCCTTATTTCGAGGGCCCCTCCTCGGGTTTAGAGAGGGGAAAATAAAACAAAAAAAAAAAAAGCAGAAGCGGTAACAGCGAGGAGCCGCCGGGATGCGGGCAGCTCTGCCCCCCCCCCTTTCCACGCATTCCTCCGCTGCAGCCGCATCCCTCCGGGCAAAGCCCCCCGGGGGGGTCCCGGTGCTGCGGGGTGGGAGCCCCCTGCCCCAGCCACCCCCCCCCCGGGCACAAAGGGGCCGAGTTGTGGAGCGGGGCTGGGGGCAGCCCCCCCACACCTCCTGCACCTCTACACCGCCTGCTTGGCCCCAAAGGGGGGATTTAATCCCGTTAAGAAATTAAAGCTTGTGGGTTTAGGAGTGACAAATTTCGGGGGGGGGGGCGCTGAAGTCGGGTTTCCAGGTCAGTGGTTAACTGAGGCTGGCTCCGGAGAAGGGCTCCGAAATAAGGCGAGGGCAGAGGGAAGGGAAGCGGGAGCGCTGGAAATGGCCAAGGCTTGTTCATCTCGATGGAATTTAAAATGTTTTTTAGGCTTGCAAAATCTTCTTGAAGTTGCGCATTTATCTCACGAGGCTGCTCGCTAGCTAATCTCCTCAATGCGTGTCCTGATTTTTTGGTAACATTACAGTATCTGAGGTCCTTTTAACCTAATTTTGTAACGAAGATAATTTCTTGTTATGTAAGTTACTGTTCGGAACGATTGCTTTGGGTCTCGGAGGCTGTCCTTAGCCGGTCTCCCCTGTGCAGTGGAAGCTGGGATTATTTACTTCGTTATCAATTCTGGGAAGAAACTCTGCCTCAACTGGAAAGGGCTGCTGAGGAATTACAGGAAAATAGTCTTCCCATTCTTATGTCTAGGGGAGTTAAATCTCCGGTCATCCCCGATCAGAATTGACTTCAGAGGTTTATGTTTATGCATAAATCGGATTTTCCCCACATGCGGACTTACAAGGACGAGCCGCTTGATTTGTACGCGCGGCATTAACTTCCTCCAAGCGGGAGACTTCTGGTGCTCTCCAAGAATTCTCCCCCGGTGACAGCAGCCTCCCTCCTGCCCGGCCCTGCAGCCCAGAGGTGCCGGCTCGGACTGCCCGACTTCCCTTCCAGCGGAGATGAACGGCACGGAACAAAGACGGCAGTGTGCTGCTCGGCTCCATCCAGCTTTTCCACCAGCAGAGCGTGATTTATTTTTTTTTATTTCATTCTGTTTGGCAGGTGGGCTATTCTGAGTGAAACCTTAAGCCTTGTTTATCAGAGAGGGTCAGCCTGTGCTCATAAACAAACAGTAGGCTGGCGAACGAGCGAAATATATCCGCGTGTTATTCTATCGGGACGTGCAGTCATCTGTTGGAACCCATGGCCTGTGCTGGCCAAATCGAACGGCAGCGTCAAAAGCAGCTCTGGTATTTTTAAGTTAAAATAGGGATCGGAGTGTGCTTTGAATTCCGTTGATAAACTGCATGCATTTAGCAGTTGGTATTTATTCTGCAGGAACACCGAGATGTGAAGTGTTAACTTCCCGGAGAGGGTCCAAACCCTAGCCTTTGCTGGTGTTGCTTTTTAAACTGAGAGCTGCCGAGGTATTTAATGGTGCGGATGTTGACAAAAGTGCCCATGGAAAGGGCTGCATTCTTCAGTGAGCTGCTCCGTGCTGTGTGGTACTTTCTGGAGAGCACAGATGTAGATGTCATTTTCCGCCTTAAATCTTTTTTTTTCCTTCTGTGACTCCCAGCATCCTTGTGTCGAGTGACCCATAATAACTAGGGGTTGTGGTTCGTGGTTATATTTGAATGTGAAGCACTCTTTTTTGAAGCAATTACAGAAGATTCAGTGAAGTAAAATTATTTGTGTCATCAGAATAAGAAATGCAGGCTGCTTAATTTTAATGACTTTATGAATTTACAAGATCTGAAGTCAGGCAGCTAGGTGAACGCATTGCTCCTCGCTTAATAGCACGTTTGAGCAGAGGTTGGTGTTCTGCATCAGAAATGGAAATTTTAGGGTTTCTTGCAGTCTTTCATCCTTCTGAATAAAGATGGGAATAGTGAACCAGGTAAAGAAACATATGGTTTTACCAGAAATGATTTCCTAGACTGATCAATTACTAGGAGATGTAATGAGAAACGCGCTCCTTAGGGAGAGGCAGGAGGAATTGCCATTACATAATATCCCTCAGGAGAATTCCTGTATCGCGTAATGAGGTTGGTGATGGAGCATTTGGGGAAAATGCCTTTGGATAAGAATTAGTTCTTCAGATTTCCATAAGCAAAACATATTACTGAAAAATAGGCTTGTTAAAAGTAGTGCTGGTATGTTAGTAGGTGGGTGCTTTGCCTCCTCACATGTTTCTTTTGTTCTGATAATTACTGTGTAAGAGATTAGGTAACCGTGCGATTAAAACTTCCACAGAAGATGAGATTCAAGTCAATTTTGTTCTGTATTTAACACCACGGTAAAACATTAAGGGCTCGTGCTCTGTCCTAGGCTTCATTGCATTGTTGGTGCTTATCTGCTGAAGGTCCTAAAGCAAAGCAAATCTCACACCTTTGTGGTGTAAACACAGATTCTCTCGTCCTCCTGTCAGTGAAAGTGAAATACCCAGCAATGCATGGATGTGGTCTCGTGGATTTCATCAACCCAGGTGGCTGGAGACGTGCTTCCAGAGTCCCCGTGCTCTCCCTGGGACTGCCTCAGAGCTGACTTTGAGCTGGAGAAGAAAGCGCCTGTTAAAAATTACTGAAGTCTGTCCTTACACTTTTAGTAGCAGTTGCCTGCACCAGGAAAATAATTAATTTCCCCACACCTGCCCTTCCCACTTCAGCATTTTTTACGTTCAGAGCCCAGCGAGAGCTTTCAGCCTTCAGGACCTGAGCACGGAGCTACCTGGCAGCGCCTGCTCCCGCGCGGACCGCGAGGTGTGAAAACCAACAGAGGGAAGGGGTGAAAAACCTTCACACCTCTGTCACTGCTGGGGAATTTGCCTAATTTGAGCTGCTCATTTGCAATCTGTGTGCCGCTGATCCTGGTAACGTTTCAGATGGCTCGTCCAGCTTTTTTCCCCCGGAGTTACAAATGTGCTGCAGCTTTGCCGAGTGCTTGCAGCGCGGTTGGCGGCTGCCACCAGCCGAGGTGGTGCAGTGACCCCTGATGGCGGCTCTGGTAACTGAGGCCGCGTTGCTCCAACTATTTTTAGGAAGTTAAAGGTGCAATGGCTGTTTTGAAGTCCAGGCCCCCTATTTCAGCTTTTCATTGATAATATTTTGTAGTATTTTGTGTGCCACCGTGTGGCTGCTGGGGCACACTGCAGTTAGCGAGGTAGGGCTCGGTTTCTCGGGACAGTCAGGGCCTGAGGGGTGTCTGGGTGCTTTTATTTCGGCTCAGCTCAGTCCCAGTGCCCGGTTCTGGTTCAGCAGGCTGTGAGATGCTCAGGGTTGGAAACGTGCCCCAGAGCGGTGGCAGCGTACTGCGAACCCCTGCGGGGCTCTCCGGGTTTGTGGCAGGGAAGGTGGAAGGCAGCGCTGGCATGAAGTGCTGAGAGACTGCATAAAGGAACTCAGTGTTTGTGTCCAATGGAAAAGGTCAGCATCAAAGAAACTGGAAGTACTTTGATACTGGTGGAAGGGCTCGATGGCAGCTGGGGATGCTAGGGCAGTGATCTTCCTTGCTGCCCTGTCTCATTCACCCCAGAGCTTCACAGGTGCCTGCGTTATCCATCTCCTGGGCACGTCACGGCTCAAGAGCCTCCCTTGA